AAAATATTTTGAAATATGTTACAAAATCATCAAAACAATTTGCAAAGTCAAACAAAAATATACCAATCTTTAATAGTCAATACATACTAAACTTAATTATAGCTACAAAATTGTCAATATTTGCGAGCCTTTCATTTTGTATATAATATTTGTATACAATATTACTACGTATACATCACTACTTGACATTATATCTTAAAAATATTAAAATATAATTTATTTTGAATAGAAAATGATTTTAGTATATTGAGCTAATGATAAGAATGACATTTTGAGATTAAGATTGCATTAATCTGTGTGACAAACATAATACAAATCTAAATTATTAATCTTTTTTATTAAATATAAAATAATGGAAAATTACATATGATTTATAAATGATATTTTGTATATAGTTTAATTAAACTAAAACACATCGAATTATTACAATTTTAAATCTGAATAAATATGTGTAAAGATTTTATTTTTACTTTTTAATTATGTCAAACATATTTAAAGTATATTTTTGTTACAATTTTATATTTAAGTCTTATGTATATTTAACTCATTCAACGTTTAAATTCTCAAATTATATAAGTATTAATGTCTTAGAAATCTAAATATAATTTTTATAAATAGAATATAATTACAGAATATTCTGTGTGATATCTAAAATCATTAATTACAAATTCAATAACTTATTCAACTGAATTAACAGAATTTTAATACTGTAGTATATACAATAATTATAATAGCTATGGTAATTAGTCTTTAATTTTTAACATTTGGTATATCAATGAAAGGGCACATATGGTGGCGATGAATGTAGTGACTCCCTCGACATATCCGGCCTGAAAGTGGAACTTAAAGAATAGACTGATTCCCATAAGACTCGCAAATACAGTGCAAAGAATTAGGTTTTCTTTGATGGCTGCAAAAAGTCCCACTAATTCTATTACTGTCGATATTATCGATATCATTATCAATGCAATGCATTGCTTTCCTATTGTTTTATTCAAAAAATAAAACAAAATTTTTATATTAAATTCTAGTTATATATTTAGTTGTATTAATTTTTTAGTTAATTTTGTTGTCTTAAATATGTTAAGTATTAAGGTTTTGTAATGAATTCACAGTACGGTATTAGTAAAAATGATTTGTAAGACTAATCTAGAGACTTATGAGCATTGTTTAAAATATTGCATATTTATTATAAATTGACATAGCTATGCCAAAAACTGTCTGATACTGTAAGTGTATGTGAATTTTGCGAAATGACATTAGTGCTTTGTTACACAAAGATTTAGATTAGGATTATAAAAATATTTTAACATCTAACTTATTCTAAACTTGAAAAATTTATAATTAAGATCGAGATAAAATTTTAAATAATTAAATACTTCATGACTACAATTATGCATAAAAAATTATTTCGCAATTGATATTTATTTTAATTTTTAATTGTTTTTAATATGTTATTTGTAATATTAAAAAAATATTTTAATATTTCTATTTTGTTATTAGTTAACAACAAATTGAATTGACAAGTTAACTTACTAATTTGTTGAATGTTTTCCTTTTTATCCCCGATTGTGTTTATTTTGATTATTTCCAGAATATATATTGAGTGACAAAAGAGACCAATTGATGCAATAATACAAATGACACATAATATCATTAACAACACTTTAACAAATTTGTAACTAAAACTATCCAATTGACGGACAGGCATCACTACACATTTAAAACCATTTAGACATCACTTATCTATGTAATTTATAGACCATTTAAATCTTAGTAATTCATTGCCGATAATGTGACCACTACTCGCAATAAAAGTGCAAATTCACATAAAATGTTAACATTTGTAGCCTTAAAATATGTTTTGTAAGAATTGGTAGAACTAATTACAATATCAACTCATCCCAAGTGCTTAATAGCATAGTTAGTACTAATGTCTGTGCTTTTGGGTAAAGTTTGCAGGGCTTGACTGAATGCCAGGAAAAAAGTGGAGTTACTTTATTTAGTTGACGACTCGAGTCTAAGCAATCGGAATAAATTATGTCAAAAACTACTGCTTTAAACGTAATTATAATAAATCCTAAGTTTTTAGATATGAGTAAAGAATTAGCGAGAATAGCGCACAGAATATTCTGTGCATATGAGAGAGAGAGAGAGAGAGAGAGAGAGAGAGAGAGCTAATTTTTAGGTTAAGCAAAATTGTTTTATTGAAAATATAAATTATTCTGGGGATTTCCTCTATAATTCTCAATAACAAACGTAAAAATAGTTTTTGTCACAGATTTACAAAATTTAACAAAATTCTTTCAAAAAAATTCTAAAACATTGTTTCTTAAAACTTATACTTTGTTTAATTATTTGATATAAGACTATACAGTGTCTATAAATCATACTACAATAACAGTTATAAATTTAATACCAATATTGTTGTTAAATCTTCGGGGGGTTTAAGACTTAAATGACAAACTATTTTCGTAAACTTATAATTCATAAAAATCTTTATATAAATAAATAATAATACTGTACACACACTCATTCTTATTAACATTATTTACAAAATATTTTCAAAAGTGACTTTACAAGTGATTAATCAAATATAGTTTTTGTCGTGTCGTTCAGTTGAAGTAAATTTTGTGAACAATTTTTTTTATAGATATTATGATTTGGTTTGTGTTTATAGTAAACGACTGGAGAGATGCCAAAGCAGTAGAAACCTATTGAATGACTTACGGCTTGTGATCAATAAGAAAATAGTGTTTCTCTTACTTTTTAAAAGTCACTCAAAATAATATCTAAAAACAATTTGACGCCAATTAACAGTCAATAAATAGTACCGATGGTTAGTGCGATAACAAATTGTTTGTAACAAGGCAAATTGAAATAGCTATAAAATTAAATATTGGTTTAAGAAAGTGGTAGTGAATTTAAGCCATTATTAAGTAAATAAAAGTTTGATTATATGTCGGAAACCCTTTTGCGAAATACCCCATAAATTAGTTCATTGATGGCTTTAACTTTGAAATCAAATATTCGCACACTTTGTGTGTAATAAATCATTTACTAAACTATTTTGCAAACAAAGAAAAAATGTAACACAAAAGAGAAAAGTTTTTATTTTGTATTTTTATATTATTTGGCAAATCTCTGGTAACACAACATTCGTAACAAAGAGAAAAATTCATAGCATTTGCAAAATTAATTAATTTTTGTTCACTTCTAATTAATTCCTATAATAATTCACCACTACTTCTAAAGTTAGTTTCAGTTATATTTGTTATATAATAGCATAAATTGTTTTATTTATTGGCATTAAGTACAATTTTAAGCAAATAAACCATTAAAATTGTTTTCACATATTTTTTAAAATAAATTTTTGTGATTTTCTATTCATTAAATACTATAACAATATTTATATTCAAAGTAGTATCAGTTACTTATTTTCTACCAAGCTACTGTTGTTTGTACTTTTAATTAACATTTAATGATCTTAAAAAATCTATTATAAAAATAAATATCACTAATAAAATTATAATATAATTCTTATACACAAATGATAATATCATTTAAGATTTGCTGAAAATAGTGAAGACATGAAACATCAAAATTCTGATCATTATATTTGTAATTATGAAAGATTTGATGATTGATGTGAAAGAGCTATCATAACACAAACTATAGTCAAACTTATTTTATACTCTAAATCAGTCCACAAGACATTAACCAAACAAACTTCTTTAAGTGAAAAGACTTAATTGAGTTTTAAGTATCAGTAATACAATGGACAAGAAATAGAAATTAGTTTACATAAAATACTAATTTTCTAATTATTTATAAATCAATTACTAGTTAATTAAGTTACAAAATATTTTTCAAAACTTTCTTGATGTTTATCTCACATCTTATCCTAAATTACACTCGTATTGAATGACAGTTCCCTTTATTTTTATCACTTTTTACAAAATCATTTTTGTCTAAAAATAAAAATTTAGGAGAAAGTTATGGTTTTCAAAATTTGCCTCAATGTGTGTAATTTATATCTCCCTTTTATATTTTTATCTCATTTTATTTTTGTGATCATTTGATTCTTTGATAACTTTTATGCTCCCAAACAGAAGTCATTTTGTAATTAGAAATTTAATCACATTTTTGTGTAATTTATCAAATAAATTTTTATATATATTATTTTCTTACTAGTTTATAAATATTTTAATAAATAATTAAATATTTAATAAATTAATAGTTTTAGTTGATCATTTGTTTGTCTAATGTGTTATAAAGTATAATATTTTACTCATTATAACTTATAATTTACATCTTGACTAATTAAATATATTGAAACTATTGGAAGACTAATTAAATTATGTTATATTATCTCGGTTATATCTATTGGCACATAGTCTTTAAATCTTGTTATGATAATAAGCGAAAACATTTAAAATTTATATATAATGTTAATAAGCGATGACATTGTTATCATTCATACAATGCATGAAATTCTTGGATCAAAACTTGTTATTATTAAAAGCGATGAAAACTAATTATTATTAAAAACATAAATCGCTTTAAGATTTCTCATTGCATAATTATTATAATGAAAATAAAAACTATTTTCTATGTATATTGGGTTTACATGTTAGTAATAAACTATAATTAATGGCTATAATTCATATTTACAAAATGAAAAAACTTTATTAAATATTGTTATATACACATAAATATACGATAAATATAAGATGAAATAAATACGAAATAAATATAAAGTATTTCTATTAACCAAAGAGTCCTCCGAGCCCTCCGAGCCCTCCGAGCCCTCCGAGTCCTCCTGGTAGGGGCGGCGGTCTGTCCAAAATCGGTGGTCTATTTAGAAGACCTGGCAATCTATTGAGGAGTGGACGTCCAAAGAGTCCTGGATCACTTTGCATCATTCCCGGATGAATTATAATTAGGTCATTATTTTTGGATTTCTTTTTCTGGTCGATCACAATCAAGCCATTAGTAGTCGGGGGTCCAAACAGTCTCCTCTGACCAAAACGGTTGAAAATACTTGAGTTTACTCTATGTGTGGAAAACATTAAATATAATACAAATAGTAATAGGATTGAGAAACGAGTGAACATTATATCATTTATTTAGCACAGGACAACGTTTTGCTTAAACATTATGCAAATGGTTTTTCTTAAAATGTTTAGTAATTTATATAAACTTTTACTAATAGGAAGAATTTTACAATATATAAATTTGTGTTATTTTTTGCACTAATTAATCGTAAATTAAAAGTATTAATTTTTGAAAATATAATTATATAAGAGTACAATAACTAGTGTTCGTGCGATTCAACATTTATTAATTGGTTGAGAGGTTTTGCTACAATTATCTTATGCTATGATTGATAAACAAATGTTATATTCATGTTAGATATCTAACTAGACGTTTAATTATTAATTTCAATCTCTGATAAAAATTAAATGATAAATACAATAAATTTGTGAAAGAATTGCGAAATCAATTGAAGTCTATTAAGAAATTAAGATAAATGTTTCCGGAATTTAATCATTTTAATATAAAATATTATAAATTAATTTACAAATAGTATTATTGTTACAGATATTTAACACTTGTGTCCTCACAATTAAATTCATAAAAGTTAAGTTTTTTGAATGATTACTTCCAAATAAATTTAACATAACAACAAATTAATGTGTTAACACAATTTTAAATGAATTCATTTAAGAAATAATATTGTACAATAGTGTACTTTAATTTAATTTTTCATTTTAAAAATATATTTTATAACTTAGAAAAGTTATTAACAAAATGATTAATAGTGATAATTATTAACAATAAAATAAATATTCAGACATTTCGCTACATGTCTGAAACAACATCTTAATACCGTTGCCAATGGCTCATTGAACTAACTGTTTGGACGGGCATTAACTCGACGGACTGATAAGATGGTGGGGTCAGCGGTGGCTTACTCATGATGACTGAATTATAATCCGGGGGCGGGTTGTTATCCAAATAGCTATACTGTTGAGCCCCTGGGTTAGCAATAGTATTGGCAACCGTAGTATCTCTCGGCGCCCGTCTCCTCATCCCTGCCCACCCCTCCTGTTGTATGAGAGCAATGAGCAAAAGTGCCAAAAATATGATAACTGTATTCCAGATGCCCATTAGTATGAGACCATTGGTCGTGAAGAATATAATCACTTGTATTAACAGTAATAACACAAATAATATCAAAAGAAAATAATTCTTTTTAATTGTCCCAAAAATGCCCAGAATTTCGGTGATAATAGAGATGATGAATATAACGATGAATAGTATTAGGTCTCTCTCTTTGAATAAATTGCATTATAATTACTATTTGAAAGTAATATTTGATTTAGATAATTGCTTACCCGGATAGTAGTACTCATCTCTCAAATTAGCGAAGACATAGATATAATTGACAAAATATCCGACACAAGCAAACAGTGCGAAGAATTGAAGGATTAGTAAAATCGATTGCAAGCAAAGGGTTGTTATTCTCGTGATTTGCATCTTCTTACTCAAAATACCGGGCATTTTGTGCCGCAATTCTCTCTGTAATACCAGTGAAGCAAAAACTGGTATCAAATACCATCAGTTAATGTCTTTCAAACTTTTCGGTCGTGTTTATCGATTAATAATCATTTTTTGAAGAGTAAGAGTGACTTTGCATTCATTTTAGTATTTTATATGCTTATTGGTTAGAGTCGTATAAATTGCTTTTAACTTTCACTCTAACATTGAATTATTAAATACAAGTTTCAAAACAATTGCTGTAAATATAAAATAATATCAATTGAAGGATACAACAGAATTCATATAATTTTAACTATCCATTAATTAATTAAGTTTAACTAAGTATGATTTGGATTAGTTTAATAGGTTTAAAACATATAAATAAGTTAATTGTAAAAACTTTAATTTTAGTTACAAAATGTTATTATTATTATATTATTTAATTCTCACTTATTTTAAGCCTAAACATGACAATTCATTTGAAATTAATTAATAATTATAATAACTTATATAATTTTTATATTGCTATATTTTTATGTTGGGGGTTTAAAGTAATATTTATTAATCTGAAATTGTCAATTTAAATATTATTTCATTAATAAATTGAATTGTTTTATTAGTTTATTATTAATGTGTTACTATTCTAGTAAATGTATGTCTAGTGTCAATGTAATCAAACTGTGATCATATTTTATAATTACATCAGAATTTTATCAGTCTGTATGTCTGTTCATAGAACCTAGTTAATAATTATGAACTCCATCTATTGGTACAATTATTGAACTAAACAAATTAAAGTTGATATTGAAACAAATCATTTCATATACATGTACCAATATACTATTCTAAGGCATGCGTTAATATAAAGTTTATATTATAAACCATTTGCCAATCATTCATTTGAACTCAATAGTAACGATAACTGTATACTCGACGCCAAATCCAAGGTCTTTACAGTTATATTCCTATCTATTCCTATGAAATGCAGTATAAATAAGTTATTATTGTCTTAATATACCATTTCTTTGTGTTCATACAAATTATTTCAATAAATTCACATACAATTAGTGAATCTGCACTCAATTTGAACTCAATTCATCACAATATAGTATAATGTCTTCGAAACAAGAGATTAACACTCCATTAGCACCACAACCGGTGGGCACATACTCCCAGGCCATCAAAGCCGGCAATATTGTCTACCTCTCGGGACAGGTAGCCACGGATGTGAAGGCGAATAAGTTAGTGTTGGAACCGTTTGAAGCACAGGCAGACCAGGTGTTCAAGAATCTGAAGACAGTTTGCGAGGCATCGGGCGCTACACTGAACCA